AGAGAATATCAGAAAGATGTTTACCTGTGCTTTATTGACTACGCAAAGGCTTTCAATTGTGTGGATCATGACAAGCTATGGACAACATCGCAAAGTATGAATATTCTGGACACTTAATTGTGCTCATGAGGAATCTGTACATGGACCAAGAGGCAGGTGTTTGAAAAGAACATGGGAACATTGGATGGTTTAAAATTAAGAAAGGTGTGCGACAAGGTTGTATTCTTTCACCATACTTATTCAACCTGTATGCTGAACAAATAATCCAATACGCTGTTTTATATGAAGAAAAACATGGCATCAGGATTGGAGGAAGACTCATTAACAACCTGCAATCTGCAGATGGTACAACCTTGCTTGCTAAAGTGAAGAGGACTTAAAACGTTTACTGATGAAGATCAAAGAGCACAGCCTTCAGTATGGATTACATCTCAATGTCAAGAAAACAAAAATTCTCACCACTGGAGCAATAAACAACATTCTTATCAATGGAGAAAAGACTGACGTTGTCAAGGACTTCTTTCTTCTTGGATCAACTATCAACACTCACAGAAGCAGCAGTCAAGCAACCAAATATCATATTGCATTAAGCAAATCTGCTGCACAAAACCTTTTTAAAGTGTTGAAGAGCAAAGATGTTGGCTTGAAGACTAAGGTGCACCAGACCCAAGTCATGGTATTTTCAATAACCTCATATGCATGTGAAAGTTGTACAGTGAATAAGGAAGATGGTAGAATTGATGCTTTTGAATTTTGGTGTTAGAGGAGAATATTGAAAGTGCCATGGGCTGCCAAAAGAACCAATAGATACGTTTTGGAAGAAGTGCAGCCAGAGTGCTCCCTGGAGGCCAAGATGGCCAAACTTCGTCTCTCATACTTCAGACATATTGTCAGGAAGGCCCAGTCACTGGAGAAGGATATCATGTTTGGTAAGGTGAAGGGTCAGAGAAAAAGAGGTAGACCCCCAACGAGATGGAATGGCCAAGTGGCAGCATCGATGGACTTATGAGTGGCAAGAGTAGTGAGGTTGGCCCAGGATTGGGCAGTATTTCGTTCTGCTGTGCATAAGGTCGCTATGAGTCGGTACCGACTCGATGGCACCTAACAACAACAACATTACAACCTAGGAGCCCTGGTGGTATAGTGGGTTATGTGCAGGGCTGCTAACCACAGAATCAGTGGTTTGAATCCACCAGCTACTCCTTGGAGAAAGTTCAGGTTTTCTTCTCCTGTAAATATTTAGTCTCAAAAATCCTATACAGGGTCACTATTAGTTGGAACTGACTGATGGCACATAACTCCAACACTCATTGTTACAACCATACAAAGAAAGATGCCTAATAATTATCCAGGAAATTTTACCTGGTAGCGTAGT